TTTTCTTTGCTGAAATTCCATATCTGTAGCAGGCTTAGACTCATTGTTTTGATATTGCACCAAACAAATCATATATAAACAAGTGACAGCCAAACAATTCTGCAGTAGCAAATCTTCTATGCAACTTATTAGAATGTCTCAAAGGTGAGTGGACACTTCTTATATATTTTTCTTGATATTCAAGAAATCTTGTGGTTGTTAACAACTTGTACAGATGCATGCATATCCAGAGATTTGAAATTGAAAGGAAAAACAGTCTCTTTCTACTTTTTTCCTTCTCATTTCTATTGGAAAGATTAAAAAGGATAAAACAGCCTTCAGCTATTCCAGCTAATATACAATACAGTAAGGGCCAGAATTTTTACAGCTGCAGCAATGATGTAAGATTTAAAAAAAAAAATTAGAAAAAGTAAAATCAATGTAGCCTCAGGATCCTTACAATTGTCAAAATATTTTTGCCCCTCAAAGCCAATCCATCTCCTTGATGTCAGTCTTTTAAGCCTGCAAGAAAATGATCTGATTTTCTTTCATTTCCTCTTCCATCAAATGAAATGTTGTAGGATTAAATAAGAGGTAATTTCAAGTATGAAATAAATAAACTAGTAATACACTATGGAATTGGATCCTTCAAGGACCTATTTAGTGGAACAGCTATGTACCATTTTTTCTTAACTGCCATTGCCTATTAAAGGAAAACACTGTTTCTTGAAACCTTGTTCATTGAGCTTGCATTCTGATTTCTCCTGATGGTGTATTTATAAGAACTTGTAGACAGGCTTGCAATAATCAGAGGTAAGAGACAACGCTAAAATTTCAGAATTAATCAGTAGGCTGAAGCTGACAATTGAAGACATCACAAAACATACTGTTTTCATTTCTTTGAGTTAGCTGTAGGTTGCTTCCACAACAATGCAGAAATTTTGAATACAATATACAGAGAAGAAATCTAAGGATTTCTAAAATTGTGGTGATAGATCACATGTGAAAAGAGCATGAAGAGCAAGAGTGCAGTAAATAACAGGCATTTTTACTTCATAACTCAGACTAGTTATTTAAGAAAATGAATTAAGATCTGTTGAAGGAATATTTGCAAATGTTAACAGAATTCATTTGCAAATTGAATAATCAACTTAATTTAACTTGAAGATCCGAACAATTCTTGATAAAATGATAAAAAAGGGCCTCATATGAAAATTCATGTGGAATTGAAATAACATATTTGAAATTTTATCGATTTTAATGCAGTTTGAAATACACTGATTCAATTCCACAGAATTCTACATGAGGTTGAGTTTTTTGCCATCCTAATCCAATGTACAAATCTCTATTAATCAAGTATAGTTTTATAAATGAATTCCATAATATTTTTCTAGAGTTATTCCAAACAGAA